TGAAATCATAATCATCTCTAGTTTTGACTATCGAGAAGCCCATCAGATAACCAATCACCATAAATTCTACGTCAGGATTTACTCTTATATAGAAATGAGTTGCGATGATTATAAGACCGCTTTTGACACACTAGGGAGGCAAAAAGGTACACCTTCATCTCTGACATGTTTTTGTGATATTTCTTGCTGACGGAAGATTTTGCAACAGTGACAATTATACAGACTTAACTTATGTTGAAGTCTGTTGTTTTGACAAACGATAGCAAAAGTTTTCAATATTATGTGCAAAATTCACGTACCTGTAAATAACCACTAATGATTTACGAATACTCTGAAAATTGATTGTCATGGCTACAGTATTCATTGTTATGTACAATATTCACATACATGTACATTGCCACAAATAATTACAATAGAAGATCACAAATTTTAAAAAGATAATCAGCAATATAAACAATCCATCACATCCCCTTTCCACACAGATTGTAAGTTCACGCAACGGCTGATATGTAACTCGAAAACAAAGAAAGACAGATACAAAAGAGGTTTCTAACCATCTAGTATACGACTACAGTCAGAATAAACATCAATGTGTATTGCTTTTTCGAGTATGTATCTATAGAACTCTAAAGGTCTTGTATTTAAATTCCTGCAAGTGTTTGAAAGATGTATCTAATAGGATATGTAAAGCTTGTCACATTTACCTTTCTATTCATATTGAATTTTAATGAGAGTTATAATATAACTTAATTTTTATGTATACCTGTAAGTGTTTTACAGACCTGTACAGTCAATAAAAAATTCTCTCTTGGACGATAAACTTTATCTTATCGTATCTTATCTTTTCCATATCTTATCTTATCTTATCTTATCTTAATGCCGTTTGAAGATTAAACACCGTTGCAAAGAAACTACATTATTATGCTCTTAATTCGAATATTATATTAGCGCTAATGAAAATGTACGTAGCTTTACCATTATTATTGCTAACAATTGTTCATTCATATCTTGCGTACGAGACTGTGGGTCTGTTTCTGTGTGTTTAGATTGTATGTGTACATGTATTTGGAGGAGAAAGATGTGAGAAAGTATATTGTGTATGCATGTATATATACATGTGTGTATGATTGTGTGTGTGTGTGTGTGTGTGTGTGTGTGTGTTTGTATGCGTGTGTGTGTGTGTGTGTGTGTGTGTGTGTGTGTGTGTGTATGTGTGTGTGTGTATAAACACCAAACAAATGGCTAGTGTAGGGACAGTAAAGATTATCCTTATGTTATCTTATCTAAAAGTAGCCATGTCACACACACACGTGGCAAGTAGTATTCATAAACGTGGACACTGGTCGGTGGAAGTGCTGTTCTCATCTTCCTGCTCTATCTATTGCAAGCATTCCAACGCCCTTTTAAGCTTTTTCAGTTTCGAAGCGTTACTGAAAAAGAGACAAAGTGAATGATTATAAACCTGTCCCTGGTGTTGTAAATGTACAGCAGAGCTACAAGCAAAATTCAAGCTTGTATGCAAACACTCACACAGCATTAACAAGTTCATAAATGTTTGAGGACATGATGGTATAGTCAAAACAGGAGTCATATCCTAGTAATAGCCAACTGGTATGTTGCTCAATGATGTTGAGGAAAACGGCATCAAATAAAAGATTACCTGATTCCGAGTTACAAGTGCCCCGCCCCATTTTAATGCAGGAAATGAGCCCGCCATTCTGACATAAGAAAGGACACAACTTTCCTGACCTGGATATCGCTCACAAAAAACCACAGGCTACCACATCCAACCAGTACCCTCCTCCTATTCTTTTGACTTTTGACTGACATTATAAAATGAGCTGCTGTCTGTAATACAGTGGAACTCGGATTCAACAAGGTTGTCTGCCCTGGCCTTCAATTTCTTTGAATCCGAGTGTTCCTTGTAGCAAACATGAGGTTTTGGTATAGATAATTACAGGCATCGAGCATGTATGTATACTGTATTCAGTTTTCTCAACTAAATGTAGTTTGGCTTCAAATGAGAAGCATCTCCAGTCAATGCTTGATGCCGAAGAAATGCAAGAACATTCCCGGAAAATACACTGAACTCTACCAAGCACACACTGTTTAAAACGATCAACACATGCACACACAGTCACACTTCACACGTGTGCTGGCCACCCGTCCGACCGGCCGACACATGCTAAACCATGGATGCATGCTAACAACAGGTATGTTGCTATGAAAGGAGGTCACTGATTGGTAGCATAAAACAGTTTACCACCCTGCAAGCGACTCCGTTAAATCCGAGCTGGCTCATTTATGTGTTCGTTGAATCCAAGTTATTTTAAATTGAATTTTATGAATAAAAAATTCGGGGAATCCAACTCCTTTCGTATTCCCATTTGGAATAGTTGTTTGTAGCGGTCAATGATCGACAGGCTACCTTAAAAAATACATTTTATAATCTGGTCTACTGCTCTGATCTAAGATATGCCCATATGGTTGCAAAATATTTATTATTTAAACGAAAGAAAAACAACAAAACACTTTATTGTTCTTTGACTCAGTTAAGTTAACTCTAGAATTACCTTGTTACATAACGTCAAAGTACGTTGGACAAGCATGTTTTCAGATGATAAAACAAGGCACAACTTGAGTTAACACAACTTATTGAATAAAGGAGAAGCTACGAGTATATTCCAACATTGCATTCGATTTTAAAAGAGTGAACCCGAGCAAGTGAAAACTAGCAAGATTGACTATTTTCAGCAAAGAATGTAAATTTTGTATCGTCGGTGGGTCGTGGGTTTGACTCCCGTCTGGGGTCCGATGTTGTGTCCGTCGGAAAGGCACTTAACAAGAATTTTCCTTACTTCACCCAGGTGGCAATGGTTATCCGGGTTAAGACAGTGAATGTTTGAGAGCGTGAAATCCTCAGCCTGCTTTGTATGCTTTCCGGGAAGCACAGAATATTTCTGAGTTGTGTTCTACGGTCTGCTAGGGTAACGATTGTTGTGAAGCGCGTAGAGCATGCTGTAAAGCGTGAATATGCGCTAAGTAAATGCAATTATTGTTATCAACTCACAAATATGAGGTCTGATAAACACCAATGTTGTTACCACCAATACCAGAGGGCATCGCTGAAAGAAAAATAGAAAGAAACAAACCATACATGAGGTTGGTTGAACGTGCTGAAACAATGCAGCAATAGGATCATTCCCGGCAGCCAGTCTGTAGCTTACCTTCATTTGGTGCACTATTAATGAGGACTTTGAATAAATAATCTAGAATGAGGCTCCAGCTTAGTTTTACTTTGCATAAAAAACAGCCTACGCAAGAGAATGCTGATTTTTTTGTGATTATAGAAACTGGGACTGTCCTTTCGCCAACAAAATTAAGGGTTAATGATAATTACACAGGTATAGCCAAATTGAAATATACTATAGGCAAAAATGTACATGTACATCGAATAAGCAAGCAAAATAAAATGCTTCTCCATAAAAGCACGATAGACAAATCTATCTATCTATCTATCTATCTATCTATCTATCTATCTATCTATCTATCTATCTATCTATCTATCTATCTATCTATCTATCTAT